TGCAACCCTAGTCATCAAAGAGGGTGACGAAAACAATCCTCTGGGCCCACGCCCTGGAAAGCACTCATTCCTTCATGTATGCATTCCATGACCCAGTATTTTTTGGGTCAGCCAGGTAGAGGCCTTTTGTTAGACAGTGAGCTCAAAGACACCAAAACCAAAAGAAGACAAACAGACAGAAGTGTAGGGCTCACTGGGGCTGTGGCATTGCCCAGCTGGGTATTTTTTGACTTCATGATAGACCTAGGAACAAACCAGCAGACAGATTTACAACATGGAATGGAATAGCAGAAACAGCATTCACCCTGCTGGAGTTTGGGAACCACACAATATGCTTGATTGAGAAACGTTTTTAGAAGCTTAATTTTTCTTTTTTAACATTAAAGAATTATTATTATTATTATTATTATTTTAAAGGCAAATATTCTTGTCTTGTTCCTGATCTTAGAAGGAAAGTATCCAGCCTCTCACCATTAACTATGTCAGCTGAGGATTTTCCATAGTTTCCATTTTTTAGGTTAGGAAGTTCCCCTCTATTCGTCGCCTGTTGAATGCTTTTAATCATGAAACAGTGTTGGTTTTTGCAAATGCTTTTCCTGTATTTATTGAGAAGATCACATGTTTTTTGTTTTTTATTCTATTGATATGGTGTATTTATGTTAACTAATTTTTGAATATTAGACCAAGCTTGCATTCCTGTGATAAATCTAACCTGATCAAGCTGTCTTTTGTTGTTATTTGCCACAGAGTCAGCTCAAACTTGGTCATGGTACATAATTCTTTTTATATGTTGCTGGATTCAGTTTGTTGGTGTTTTCTTGGGAATTTTATACTTGTTTATCTAGTGCTGATATAACAGACATACAATAAGTGGATGGCTTTAACAAACAGGAATGTATTCTCTCACAGTTTGTTGTTGTTGTTGTTGTTGTTGTCATTAGGTCCTATTGAGTTGGCTCCAACTCATAGCGACCCTCTATACAACAGAACGGAATACTGTCCGGCCGTGCAACATGCTCACAATCCTTGCTATACTTGTTTCAGCCACTATGTCAATCCATCTTGTAGAGGGTCATCCCCTTTTTCTCCGACCCTCCACTTTACTGAGCATGATATCCTTCTCCAGGGAATGGTCCCATCTGATAACATGATCCAAGTAGGTGAGAGGAAGTCTGGCCATTCTTGCTTCCAAGGAGCATTGTGGCTGTACTTCTTCCAAGACAGATTTGTTTGTTCGCTAGCCGTTCATGGTATTTTCAGCTTTCTTCACCAGCACTGTAATTCAAAGGTATCACTTCTTCTTCAGTCTTCCTTGTTCATTTTTCAGTTTTCATAAGCAAATGAGGCAACTGAAAATACCAAGGCTTGGGTCAGGTGCACCTTAGTCTTCAAAGTGACATCTTTGTTCTTCAACATTTTAAAGAGGTCTTTTGCAGCAGATTTGCCCAGTACAATACAATGTCTGATTTCTTGACTGTTGCTTCCAGGAGTGTTGATTGTGGATCCAAGTAAAATGAAATCTTTGACAACTTCAACCATTTCTCTATTTATTGTTATGCTGTTAATTGGTCCAGTTTGTAAGGATTTTTGTTTTCTTTATGCTGAGGTATAATCCATATGGTAGACTGTAGTCTTTAATCTTCTTCAGTAAGTATTTCTTCACTGAAGTGAAAGTGAAGTGTTTCTTCACTCTCAGCAAGCAAAGTTGTGTTATCTGCATATCGTAGGTTGTTAATGAGTCTTCTTCCAACCCTGATGACATGTTCTTCTTCACATAGTCCACCTTCTCAGATTATTTGCTCAGCATACAGATTAAGTATAATGAAAGAATACAACCCTGATGCACACTCTTCCTTATTTTAAACCATGCAGTATCCCCTTGTTCTGTTTGAACAACCGCCTCCTGGTCTATGTACAAATTCCTCATGAGCACAATTAAGTGTTTTGGAATTCCCATTTTTCTCAATGTTATCCATAATTTGTTATGACCCACACTGTCAAATGCCTTTGCATAGTCAATAAAACATAAGTAAACATTTTTCAGATATTCTTAGCTTTCAGCTAAGATCCTCTGTCAATCAGCAATGATATCCCTCATTCCACATCCTCTTCTCACAGTTTAGAAGGCTAGAAGTTCGAATTCAGGGCTCCAGCACTAAAGGAAGGCTTCCTCTTTCAGCTTTAGGGGAAGATCCTTCTCTCTTTTTGTCCTCAGCGGACCTTGAGTTCCTGTAGACTGTATCCTGCCTGATGAACATAACTATCTCTAATCCTGCCTCACTAACATCATAGAGGTTAGGATTTACAATGCGTAGGATAATCACATCCAATCTCAAAATGAGGGATAATTACATAATACTGAGAATCATGGCCTAGACAAGTTTACACATATTTTGGGGGAACATAATTCAATCCATAACAGTGCCATATTCATAAGAGTTACTGGTCTGTAGTTTTCTTTTTTGTTGCCATGTCTTTTTCTTGCTATTAAGGTATTACTGGCTTCATTGAATGAATTGAGAAATGTTCCTTCCTCTTCTATTTTTTGAAAGAATTTGTAAAGGACTAGTATTCATTCTTTAAGTGTTTGGTAGCAGTCACCAATGAAGACACCTGGGTCTGGAATTTACATTGTGAGTACATTTTTATTACTAATTCAATCTGTTATAAATCTACTTCCCTTTTAATCAGTGATTTTTGTCTTTCTATTGAATAGCTTCTTGTTTCTTCTAGTTGTTGTCTTATTTATAGTGAATGAAAGCTAGTATTTTAAACCTGCTGGACTTTAGGTATTAATCTCCTGTTCCATGTTTTACTGGATAAAACCTTTAAGTGAAAATCATTAACTTAAAGTCACAATGTCAGAGAATAAACTCAACATACTATAATGAAAGGTAGCTAAATTAGTATGGTCTCCTCATATCTAGTTCTTATTCTAGAATTAACAGCTAACACATACTTAGTAGTAAAAATATTTCTGAATCTGTGTTTCCTCATATATATAAGGGGCATGTTGGATTAAGTGATCTCTAAGGTACTTTCCTACCTTAAAAAAATCTATTATTTTGTGAAATGCAAGTCATTGTGACAGAAATGTGAGGGAAGGAGAATATACATGAAAACCACAGACAAAAGGCAATTAAAAAAATAAACAACTGGTGGCAATTTCTGATAAAAGTTAAAAAACAGGAATCATAGTCTTATGAGAGACAAAATAACGAAATTCAAATGGCTGTTCTGTTTGGAACAAAATTATTTCAAAATAAAGTTCCCATTCTCTTCTTTCTTAAGATGTCTAAAATATAAATTATGACTATCTATACATGTAGCATTTATAATAGTCCATACAAATGAATTAGAAATGTTAACATAGTTCATTCTTAGAAACAAATAATGGAGTAAAAATAAAGCAAATTTCATTAGGAATATATATTACTGAATTGCATTTATATAAATTAATATACACAAATATTATAAAATGAGCCTTATAGATAGGTATGTTTTACAATTATAGTTATATAGAGAAGAAGGGAGGAGAGTGGAATGGGGGAAGGATAAACAATGGGCTTAACTATATCTGAAATTTTTATGACTTTTTTTTTTACTTTAAACTTTTTATCGTGCTTTGTGTGAAATTTAACAAAGTAGATTTGTTTTACTTTAAATAGTTCATACATGTTTTGTTTTGTGACACTGATTACATTCCCTGCAGTGTTAACAGCTCATTTTCCACTTCCTCGCTGTTGTCACCTTTTCCCTGCATCCTTGCCTGGACATTCCTGCCTCCCTATCTTTCTCCCTGTGCAAATGCTGTCCCTCTGATCTCTCCCCGGTGTACACATCTCCCTGGTGTATGTGTTCAGCTCATAGGCCTATTACTTGGCTGAAAGTTAGCCATAGGAGTGAGCTCAATTTCAGGTCTGAAGGATGACTCAGCACTATAGTCTCATTGGAGGAGTTTCACCAGTATTTATCAGACAGTAAAGCCTATTTTTTTTTTTTTTAAATGATTTTGTATTTTGTTCCACATTTTTCTCCCACTCTATATAGGATCTCCAATTTTGATCCCTTTCTAAGTGGTTGGCATTGATAGGCAGGTACCATCTAGTTCTTCTTGTCTAAAGGGTCAAAGGTTCTTTAGAGTAACTGTTTCCATACATCTCTGATTTTATTCACTCTTCTTTGTTCCAGACAAGGAGAGACCAATAGTTGCCACTTAAATAGCAGCTCACAAGCTTTTAAGACCCCAGTTGCTACTCACTGAAGTAAGATGTAAAACACTATTTTTATATACCATGTTGTACCAATTGAGCTTGATATCCCCTGTGACCATGGTTACCAGCATGCAGGCCCAGCTACCCACCCACTCAAGATGCTTATTTGTGGCTAAGAAGTTATCCTAACTTGGCCTCCTGTTATGTTTAAAATGCATATGGACATTTTTATAGCACATATGTAGAAACATCGTCTGCCAAACCTATGTACGGTCATGAGTATATTCCCATTTGCCTATTCATACCTATCTACCTATGCACCCACCCAGAGATTAGTGTTTGCTGTTACTGATAATGCAGTATTATATATGCAACAGTGTTTGCCTTCATTTGTGTACCTCTTGTGCACCTATTCATGTCTTCCTTTTCCTTAGTGATATTGTGCTAGTCTCACACTTTTATTATATTATTTTTCCCTTTACCTATATCAAACCTGTCTCTTAATTATCCATCTATGAAATTTTCATTGCTTTTGAAGCAAAAATGATTGCATTTCAGCATTTAATAGCCCAAGGGAGACTGTTATGAATTTTTGTTATACTTTCTTACAGTCTTGTATATGTGAACTATTTCATAATATTAAAAAGAAAAGGAAAAATTTTTTAATTTTATATAAATAATCAGAAATATATAATTGTGAGAATATAATAAAAGTTTACCAAAACAATTTATTTTTAAATCCATTGCTGAAAATTTTCTCCAGGGGATAGTCATACTACTACTCACCATTTGATGCTGTAAAATCAATAGCCACGGTGAAGTTGATTTGTGTTCTAGAAGATAAGTAAATAAGAATCATGAATAACTTTAAAATGTCACAAAGGAATTTCTTTTCCATTTCCATTTCATACTTTTAATGTCACTAACTTTCTTAAATGTTATTACTAGCAAATATATTATAGCACACTGAATACCAACAGTTAGGCAGTTTTACAAGGTAAGAAGCTAGTAAGATATCTAGTCATACAATTTTAATGTAAAAAAATAAAGTCTTAGAATAAAAATAAACTGTATTGGTAGTCCCATAAAAAACCCAACTCACTTCCATCTAGTCAATTCTGACTCAAAACAACCACCACTGGGTTTCCAAGATGGTAAATCTTTATGGAAACAGACTGCCTCATCTTTCTTCCGTAGTGTGGCTGGTGGTTTGAACCACCAACCTTTGGTTACCAGCCAAATGCCACAACCACTACACCACCAGAGCTATTTTGGGACACAGTAATTAATAATTCTTCATAATGAAGAGATCAAAACACAGATAATTATTTGCTAGTCTCGAATGGCCTTATTTATTTATTTAAGACTAACAAAAATCCATTTTTTTTTTAAATAATACTTACATATTTAAGAAAGCTAAAATAAAAAATGTGGTGGCTATGTTTTTCTTTTACATAAGGACCCTGACTTTACTTTTCCAAGAACAGTTGCCCAGGAGGAAGGAAAAGCAACCTATATAGTGGTCTCAAGGGCTTGTGTTTCCTTCTCAGAACTGGTCTCCACCCATAGAGCAATGAATTGAAAGGAAGCAGAAAGCATTCCCTCCCCATCTCTCTCCCCTACCCCTCTTGCTTCTACTTGAAGCATATCTGAATAACAAATGCAAAATTAGGTTTGGATGGTCACCCTGACCACCTTAACTAATTAGGTTTGGATGGACCACCTTGATTTAGGATTTTGTTTCGTTAGACGAAATGCGGCACAGAAAGGACAGGAATTCTTATTCCTCATCTACAGGGATACTATAAAGTTAAAGCACACATGGAAGAGGCATTTGTAACCTTCTATAGGTAGGATAAAGTCATCTGTAAAATGAGAGGATATGACGGATGGTCTGCCAGGTCCCATCCAGCTTGGGGAGTAACTGCAAGCTAGCTTCAAAGCTTCAATTTTCCATGCTGAAAGGGCTCTCTCACTTTGCTAAGGTGAATACAGAAATGAAACTCTTATCATATCATGGCACTAACTTTCTGATACAAAAATTAATTATGTTGGGATTAAAGTAGGTGAAGAAAGTACAAAGTACAAAGTATAAATATTTGTGGGTTAAATCAGTTATTATTCAATAGCTGAAATTTATGTATGCTGCAGAACTATAGTAAACCACAGTCTTAAACAAATAAACCAGATATTCCTGTTGGAATATAGAATTTGAGAGTTAAGTCCAGTGAATCACTTTAGAAGTCCTGACAGTCCATAATCTGCATCCATGATGCCTCTCCATTATCCATATTTTTGCAGGTAACTCAGACAAGGGCAGTTCTTGTCTTATGGAGACATTTTTTAAGAACCAAGAAATTAAGATTGAAGGATCTGAAACCCTAGTGTTATGGGCAGAGCCTCATTTTTCTGGAATATAAAAACACTATTTCTTCCACTTCTAATAGTTCGTCGAGGGACGCCACTACTAAATCATGCTCTTGTAACATCTCTGGATAGTGGGATACAGCTAGTTCGATCCTCGCCGAGTGCGGTACAGGAGTAATGAGCTTCATGTCTTGCCCTTCTGGCATTCCAATTAGTCTAGGGATTGGAGCGATCTGTAATTTGATGCCTGGATGATTATCCTGGCCTGTGTTGGTTACTTGGAGTGTTGCTGTAACCTGTTCCCTTTCTTTGGGAGAAAGATAAGACTTTTCAGATTCCATATTCATGATCAGCTCTTCAGCACCTTCAGGAGTCAGAGGTAATTCCTTCTGTGGTTCTGTTTGGGTCTTGCAAAATATTACTAATAACTTCTTGTTAAATTCAGCGGAGGCTAATCTTGCACAGATACCAGTGATACAAAATACCTGCAATCCTCACAGCAACAACAGAAGACAGACATAGAATAATCCCTCACAGATACCCAGATATTGTGGGAGAGAGATCCAACAGATCTGCCGACTCAGGACCATAGTTCTGGGGGACACCAGACTCAGTGGGCACAACAAAATACATAAAAGTCTTGTTCCTCATCCTACATATTGGTGAGTTGCGACTGAGGTCTTAAAAGCTGTCAAGCAGCCATCTATGAAGCAGTTAATGGTCTCCTATTGTCAGAAGTGAAGAAGAGTGCAAAACAAAAAACCCAAGCGCATTTAGAAGCAATCAGCCCTAGGACATGATGGCCCTCAAGACCAGAAGAACTAGATGGTGCCCACCTACCAATGCCAACCACTCAGGAGAGGATCAAATCTGGAGATCCTGGATAGAGTGGGAGGAAAAATGTGGAACAAAATAAAAAAACTCAATAATGACCAGAATTACTGGTCAGATGGAGTCTGGTCAGACTCCCAATACTATGGCCCTGGGATACATTCTGGTCCTGAAAATGGGCAGTACAGACAACAAATATGAACCCTTTTGCATATACAGTACTGAGTTGTCAGTGAAAGCAAACATGGGTATATGGACAGATAGATAGGAGGACAGGCTAAACAATTAGGTATGTCTAAATGG